TACATTGACTTGAATCTGCCAGGGATGTACATGTGTTCCCCATCCTGAACCCCCCTCCCACTTCCCTCCCCTTCCCATCCCTCTGAGTCATCCCATTGCACCCACCCCAAGCACCCTGTATCATGCATCAGACCTGGACTGCTGATTCATTTCACATATGATAATTTACATGTTTCAATGCCATTCTCCCATATCATCCTGTCCTCACCCTCTCCCACAGAGTCCAAAAGACTATTCTATACATCTGTGTCTCTTTTGCTGTCTCATATACAGGATTATCACTACCATCTTTCTAAATTCCATATATATGTGTTAGTATACTGTATTGGTGTTTTTCTTTCTGGCTTACTTCACTCTGTATAATAGGCTCCAGTTTCATCTACCTCATTAGAACTGATTCAAATGTATTCTTTTTAATGGCTGAGTAATATTCCATTGTGTATATGTACCACCACTTTCTTATCCATTCATCTGCTGATGGACATCTAGGTTGCTTCCATGTCCTGGCTATTATAAACAGTGCTGTGATGAACACTGGGGTACACATGTCTCTTTCAATTCTGGTTTCCTCGGTGTGTATGCCCAGGAGTGGGATTGCTGGGTCATATGGCAGTTCTATTTCCAGTTTTTTAAGGAATCTCCACACTGTTCTCCATAGTGGCTGTACTAGTTTGCATTCCCACCAACAGTGTAAGAGGGTTCCCTTTTCTCCACACCCTCTCCAGCATTTATTGCTTGTAGACTTTTGGATAGCAGCCATCCTGACTGGCGTGTAATGGTACCTCATTGTGGTTTTGATTTGCATTTCTCTGATAATGAGTGATGTTGAGCATCTTTTCATGTGTTTGTTAGCCATCTGTATGTCTTCTTTGGAGAAATGTCTGTTTAGTTCTTTGGCCCATTTTTTGATTGGGTCATTTATTTTTCTGGAGTTGAGCTGGAGGAGTTGCTTGTATATTTTTGAGATTAATCCTTTGTCTGTTGCTTCGTTTGCTATTATTTTCTCCCAATCTGAGGGCTGTCTTTTCACCTTGCTTATAGTTTCCTTTGTTGTGCAAAAGCTTTTAAGTTTCATTAGGTCCCATTTGTTTATTTTTGCTTTTATTTCTAAAATTCTGGGATGTGGGTCATAGAGGATCCTGCTGTGATTTATGTCGGAGAGTGTTTTGCCTATGTTCTCCTCTAGGAGTTTTATAGTTTCTGGTCTTACATTTAGATCTTTAATCCATTTTGAGTTTATTTTTGTGTATGGTGTTAGAAAGTGTTCTAGTTTCATTCTTTTACAGGTGGTTGACCAGTTTTCCCAGCACCACTTGTTAAAGAGGTTGTCTTTTTTCCATTGTATATCCTTGCCTCCTTTGTCGAAGATAAGGTGACCATAGGTTCGTGGATTTATCTCTGGGCTTTCTATTCTGTTCCATTGATCTATATTTCTGTCTTTGTGCCAGTACCATACTGTCTTGATGACTGTGGCTTTGTAGTAGAGTCTGAAGTCAGGCAGATTGATTCCTCCAGTTCCATTCTTCTTTCTCAGGATTACTTTGGCTATTCGAGGTTTTTTGTATTTCCATACAAATTGTGAAATTATTTGTTCTAGTTCTGTGAAAAATACTGTTGGTAGTTTGATAGGGATTGCATTGAATCTATAGATTACTTTGGGTAGTATAGCCATTTTGACAATATTGATTCTTCCGATCCATGAACATGGTATATTTCTCCATCTATTTGTGTCCTCTTTGATTTCTTTCATCAGTATTTTATAGTTTTCTATATATAGGTCTTTTGTTTCTTTAGGTAGATATATTCCTAAGTATTTTATTCTTTTTTTTTTTCTTTTCTTTGCAATGATGAATGGAATTGTTTCCTTAATTTCTCTTTGTTTTCTCATTGTTTAGTGTATAGGAATGAAGGGATTTCAGCAGGTGGATTCTTTACCACTGAGCTACCACAGAAACCCAACGTTACAGTTATTGTTCAGTCACTAAGTCATGTCTGACTCTTTTCAACTCCATAGACACACCAGGACTCCCTGTCCTCCACTATATCTAGGACTTTGCTCAAGTTCATGTCCATTAAGTCGGTAATGCTATCTAAACATCTCACCCTCTTCTGCCCTCTTCTTTCCCCATCAAAATGATGACATATTTAAGGAAATCAAAATGGAGCAACTGTGGGCAGTCATTGTGGATGTGATTTCAGACATGTTCCTGCATCACTAACTACTTAAATTCTGAACTGTATCAAACTCAAGTACTCCACCAGCCATTTGCAAAATGATATAGACTAGTGGCTGTTAACTGCAAGTTTGTAGTTTCAAAACTGCCTGCTTCACAACTATTCAATCATTTCAAACACAACCAATCCTTGCTTAACAAGAATCTTTACATCTTGCCATCTCCAATCCTAATTTTTTTTTTCTGGCTTAAAATAACACTAATTTATTATATTACAATTCTAGAGGTCACAAGTCTGAAAATTAAGTTGTTGACTGGGCTGCATTCCTCCTGGAGGCTCTTGAGAGAATCCATCTCCTTGTCTTTTCCAGTCTCTAGAGGCCACCTGCATTCCTTAGCTCACACAGCCTCCTCCATTGCCAGGGCCAGCAGCACAGCATCTTCATGGCTTTTTGATCCCCTTGACCGCCTCCTTCAGGGACTCTTGTGATTCCGCTGGGTGTGCCAGGTAATCCAAGATTATTTTTCTAGTCTCAAAATACATACTCTTTAAAATTCTTAAATGTTTGTGCAATTTTTAAGGGTTACTTTCCCTCAACAGTTAATACAAAATATGCAGTCCTAATTCTTGACACAATTTGCCATTTTTGCTTTTATAAACTTTCACATTTTGTTGTCTGGAAGAAAACAGTTTAAGTGTTTTTTGGATCTGTGTGTCCTGGGTAGCAGCCCTAACAAATCCCAAATAAACACTTTGTGATTTCAGCCAGATCTCCATTCTGGGGTTTCATAGTTAACAATAATAAAATTTAAACCTCTTAAACAACCAAAGACATATAAAGCAACTATATAAGTAAATGTACATGACTTTTACCTTGAAATCTCAAATCTAAATTTGTATAATTTTTTTAGATTTCACATATAAGTGCTATCATATAGTATTTTTCTTTGTCTAACTTATTTCAGTAAGCATAATATTCTTTAGGAACATTCACCTTCCTGTAATTGGCAGAATTTCATTCTTTTTATGGCTGAGTAATATTCCATTATATGTTTATACTGCATCTTCTTTATCCGTCTGTCTGTTGATAGATTCTGGGTTGTTTCTATGACTTGACTTATAAGTAGCGTTTCTGTGAACACTGGGCTGCACGTATCTCTTTGAATTACTGTTTTCATTTTCCTTGGCTATATACCCAGGGGTGGAATTGCTGGCTCGTATGGTAGTTCTATTAGTTTTTAAGCACACTCCTGTTTTCCAAAGTGCCTGCACCACTTTATGTTCCCACCAACAGTGCACAAGTGTTCTCTTTTCTCTTCACCCTCTCCAACATTTGTTATTTGTGGTGTTTTTGATGATAGCCATTTTGACAGGTGTGAGGTGACTTCTCATTGTCATTCTGATTTGCATTTTTCTGATGATTAGCAATGTTGAACATCTTTTCATGTGCCTGGTAGCCATCAGTGTGTCTTTCTTTAAAAAGCCTATTCATATATTCTACCATTTCTAATAGAATTGCTTGTTTGATATTGAGTTGTATGAGTTGTTTATGTATTTTGGATATTAACGCCTATTGGTCATATTATTTGTAAATATTTTCTCCAATTCTGAAGTTTGTCTTTTTGCTGATGACATCCTTTGCTGTATGAAGTTTTTATGTTTAATTAAGTTCCATTTGTTTATTTTTGCTTTTATTTCTTTTGCCTTAAGAGACCAATCCAAAAAAATATTGCTATAATTTATGTCAAAGAGTGTTCTATGTTTTCTTCTTTGAGTTTCATGGTTTCTGATCTTACATTTAGGTCTTTCATCAATTTTAAAGTTCCTTTTGTGTATGGTGTAGGTAAATATTCTAATTTCATTATTTAACATGTAGTGTCATGTTTTCCCAGTACCACTTATGGAAGGTACTGTCTTTTAACTATTGTATATACTTGCCTCCTTTGTCATTGATTAATTGACGACATGTGCCTGAGTTTATTTCTGAGCTCTCTGTCCTTTTCCATTGCTCTGTCTGTGCTTATGCCATACCATGCTATTTTGATTACTGTAGCCTTGTAGTATAGTTTTAAGTCTGGGAGCATCATTCTTTTTTCTCAAGAGTGCTTTGGCAACTCATGGGCTTTTGTAGTTCTACATGAAGCTTAAAATTGTTTTTTACAGTGCTATGGAAAATGTCAAGGATATTTTGATAGGGATTACATTAAATACATAAGGTTGCTTTGGGTAGTATAAATATTTTCACATTTTTTGCCAGTCCAGTAGCTTCATTGTATAGTTTGAGATCAGAAAGTATAATGCCTCTGGCCTTGTTCTTCTTTCTCAGCATTGCTTTGACTTTTCAGGGTCTTTTTGGTTACATACAAATTTTAGCATGGCTTCTCTATTTCTGCTGTCCATAATACTCCAATATGCTTTTGATATCCATGGCATCAAAGAGATGGCCCCTCTTTTAATTAAAACTTGTGAAATTTGTGTTCTCTCTCATTTTGGAGAGAGACTGGCTATAGGTGATTTCTTATACACAATCTCATTGATTTCTGTTCTGATTTTTAATTGTAGTTTTCTGTGTCTGACTTTTAATTGCTCACTATCACTGATCTCAATATTCCCTACAGGATGAAGCTGCTCTTGAAAACAAATTTTTTTCACTTTTAAAAGCAAATCTCAGATAACTATGTAAGAAGCATTCAAGGGAGGTTTTCTGCTCTCATTCCCTCTATCCTCCTCTGTGCATATCACTATAACGACCAGTATGACATCTTTGCCTTTTTTTCCTTTCTTACTTGCAATATGCACAAAAGAAGGAAAGACTGAGAAGTGGCTCATCAGATTCTGCTTTTTATTAGAAACATGCACTGAAGAAATAGGTCTCATTGGCACATACTAATTCATGCATTACTTTGTACTGAGTACAATGGTACTAGGTACACACTACTACTTAATATTAGATATCTATTAGTATATGTGATGGCCAATACAAATACTACAGGATATGGAGAATAGCAGATATATTTCTGTAGTGAAATTGCACAGGGAATGAGAAGAGGTCAGAGATGTGTTCTCAGGAAAGATTAACATGACACTGGTGAACGATGCCCCCCGATGAAAGGGAGTTAAAGGCAATGCCACAGATGAAGCTGTATGATCTAGCATTCTTCACACAGGAATGAAGCAGAGCTTGTAAGGAGGCGGCACATTAGCTATCCCAGTAACAGCTGGAGTGGTGTCAATGTCTTTTGAGTCAAGCACAGATTTCAGGGTAAATTTTTGTAAAATTGTGGTCAGGAATAAAAACAGCTCCATGCGGGCCAGGCCCTCTCCCACACAAATCCGTTTTCCTGAAAGTAACATAGATAGTACTCCTTGAACGCTGTCTTTCTGGCTGCCAGAAACAGACTATGCAGTAACTTTTTGATGAATGTTTGAATGGATGGATGGAAGGCAAATGGCTAGATAGACAGGTGGACAAAGGGTAGATATACATGCTATCCATCTAATATCTAATCTTAACAGGTATCTTTCTTTCAGCAGATATTTATTGCATTATCAGCACTATACCACATACTTCATTAAGTGTATTATAACTCCAATTTGACATTTTCAAGGTTCCATCAATTTTTTTTTATAGAAATACTCATACATTGGTTGTATTTTGTTCCTACTGTGATGGTCCAGTGTCTTTCTTCCCATTCTTCACATCCTCTATTCTCTGCTGGAAGTATATCAAATCTACATCAACCTTGAAGTCTTTCAGTTTTATAACACAGAGTAACTTTTGTCTAAGATGCACTTCTCTTGTATTTTCAGAATGTAGCTTAAATTTTATTTCTGAATTAGAAAGAACTGGGTCACCTCTCCAAAGCTCTAGTAATCTACTCCAAAAATGAGGATGTCTCAGGGAGAGAAAGTGCATGGGCATTGGGACTGCTGTCTCTCATCATGGAAAATGAACATTTTGGCCAGGCCCAGAGTGGGCACTATGGAAGTTCCAAAGGATGCCCAAAGGCACCTTGTCCACTGAAAGTGAAAGTCACTCAGTAGTGTCTGACTCTTTGCAACCCCATGGACTGTCCATGGAATTCTCTAGGCCAGAATACTGGAATAGGTAGCCTTTCCCTTCTCCAGGGGATCTTCCCAAACCAGGGGTTGAACCCTGGTCTCCTACATTGCAGGTGGATTATTTACCCACTGAGCCACAAGGAAACTTGTCTACTGGAACAATGAAAAAACTAAATTTGTGTTACCTGCTGAGAAAGCCATGAAATAGTCGCTCTTCCTAAAGTTGCCATTCTCATCCAGGAAGTGGCCAGAATTCTCTAGGCCAGAATACTGGAATAGGTAGCCTTTCCCTTCTCCAGGGGATCTTCCCAAACCAGGGGTTGAACCCTGGTCTCCTTCATTGCAGGTGGATTATTTACCCACTGAGCCACAAGGAAACTTGTCTACTGGAACAATGAAAAGACTAAATTTGTGTTACCTGCTGAGAAAGCCATGAAATAGTCGCTCTTCCTAAAGTTGCCATTCTCATCCAGGAAGTGGCCAGGGTCAAATACCTCTGGGTTGGGAAATTCTTTGTCATCATGTAGCACAGAAGTCAGTGATGTTAATATATCTGTGCCCTGGAAAGAACAGATGAAGATAAACTAAACTATGAAGAACTCACAGAGCTAGAAGAACTGCTGAAAATCCTTTAGTCCAATCTTAGGATCAATAGATGATTAATTTTGGCTCGAAAGGTTAGTGTCATTTTGAGTCAGACAGAACAGTGATAAACAAGGATAAGTTTAAGACTAGTGGCGGTGATGCTGCCAAAATGAACACTGGCAGCATCTGAAATACTCAGTACGTGGGTCCTAGAACTTATGAATCCATTCTGCTAATCACCACATTAAGGACATGGTATCTGCCCCCACCAGCTGCTTTATTATTTCAACTTTTACTCATCTCATATGTGGATTATGGCTTAATGTGGAAGTCTCTATTGTGCTTGAAATATTTCAAACTATCTGTTTGTATGGCTTTTGTAAACAGGCATTTGATCTAATACAAAATAACCTCTTCTACAATAACAATGTAAGCACAGTAACAAATGTTATTGTTTACCATTGACATGCAGATTGTTTGTCTTTATTTAAAAATATAGGGCAGGCTTCATGACAGATTAATCCTAGATTTGAAACACAGAAAGGACTGTAAAATTTGCTGTGCTACAGTCCATGGGGTCACAAAGAGTTGGACATGACTTAGTGACTAAACAAGAATAAAACTCAATATTTATGTTTCTACACTGGGAGGGCTATGCAGAAGGGGATGGTCATCCCCAGTATATGCTTGGTAATAGATGTATGAAAATATAATGGTCATTTCCTAATACAGTGGATGTGAGCGATGGGCCACTCCATTCTAGTACAGTGTTTCCCACATACTTAGAAATAAGAGTAGAAACAAGCTTGATCAATTATTACCTTAGACCCCAGTGTCACAAAAGAAAAGTCTTCTCTCAGGACTTGAAGTACTAACCCTTGTATCAAAACTGCAATCACTGAGACAAGTCTCATAATCTAGTAAAATCATCAATTCTGTCTTCTCCAAGGACTGGCACTAGTACTTGTACCTTAAGAATCTCATTGCTTTCTTTCCCCAGCAAAATATAAATTTTAGTTATATTATTTTATAATTTTAATAATAATATGTCTTGGCTTCAAGTGGATAAGAGAAGTTTTCAGCACACCAATTAGAAAGTCTGAATATATACAGATATTCTGTGTTAGAGAGCATGAGAAATCTGCTAAGACAAAAATCTGTCTCAATATTCCAAAGTTTGAAGAACCTCAAAGAGGAAAGCTGACACCTAAAGTTAATATTAGTCTCTGTCAATGTTCAAATTTTACTCAAAATACTCAAAATGGGAGAAGTTACATCATTCCATCTGCCAAAGAGGAGAGGGATGGACCCTTTCTGTAATAAAATAAATAACACCTGAACTCTGCATTTTTTCATTTATAAAAATTGGTATTTAACCAAAAGTAACTAGACATTTCAAAGACACACTAAGTGGCCAAAGGTAGAAGTGAGGAAAACAATAAATATACACCCACACTATGAAACATTTCTCACCTAATTTTATCATGCCAGCATGACCTTTAAAACAGAAATCCAATGAAAAAGTGTTGAGGAAGAAAAGTTGTAAACAAAAAATCTCTTATACCATAATCAGTAAAGTCCTGAACAGAATGTAGCAAATGAAATCCAACTGCGTATATATACTTATAGTATGCATATTCAGTGGGAAAAGTGAGGTCAATGTATTCAACCATACCAATAAGTACAGATATCAATATGAAAAAAATTATATACATGTTCATGACTAAAAATAGCATTAAAAATGAGAACATATTTTCTACTCTGATTCTTTAAAAAGTACGTAGCAAAATTTACATAAAATATCATCATCAATAGTGAAATGTTAACCACCATTCTATTGAGATCAGAAATGAAAACAAGGCTAAAAGAAAGTTATCAGCACAGACAGCATGACAATGTATAGAGAAATTGCGATTAATCTAGAGGGAAGTTTTAAACACTGATTTTAAATTTGGCAAGATTGCTTCATATAAAGTTATTAAAATGATAAATCAATTATATTTTCAATCCAGATAATAGAATGGAAAAGGCATTTTAAAACAATAAGCACCAAAGGGAAAAAAAGAAAAGATATGTAAGCCATTGTACAGGAAAAAAATTACTGAGAAAATTAAAGTAAGCCTTTCAAAACTGGACCATATATCATATTAATTAATGCAATGATTCAACATGCCATGGAGTTATATCTTTCCAAATTGACCTTATATCACCCTGACAAAAATCCCTGCAGTGTTTTGGTAAATCGACAAATTGATACCAACATTCATTTGGAAATGTAAACAGTTAACTTTTGTCAAACCAAATAAAAGAAATAGAAAATTTGGAAGTCTTACACTGCTAGCTGCTATAAATCTGTTATAAAGCTTTACGGACTAAACTGGAAAAAACACACAATTCATCAAGCCTGCACACAAATGATTACTTACACTTCTTTCATCTTGCTTTCATAGAGGATGGCACACAAACTGTCTAAAATGGGAACTTCAGTACCACCGAGGTCAGTATAAGAGAAACCAATGTTACCTTGGGGATGAGGTAGTTTCTGAATTTAACATCACAGTTCACAGCATGAGGTACGCTCGTGGGAGCCAGGTCAATGTATCTCTGGATCTCATGCACCACAGCATCCATGTAGGGCATGCGGGTCCTGTCCTGCATGCAGGGGCTCCGGTGTCTGCCAATCACACGGTCGATCTCTTCCTGGATCTTAGCTGATAAGAGATAAGTAAGACTGAAGAAGGAAAAATTGCACACCACATTTGCACAGTAATTCAGGGATACATGATGCTTCATGAAGGTATCCCAACAACATTATACACTTAAGTTATATGCTCAGAAATGCACCTCGACATGGAGAGAGAATTGCCATAATACAAATACATGTAAGTCTCTGACAAGCTAGACTTAAGATACAGCTAAAGAGACTTCTATATGAGCATACACAGTAATACAAGCAGAAATGATGAAATGTTTGAAAATAAAGACACAACACAAGATCAAGAAACTAAAGTTGTTGGAGGAAAAAAACAGGAATCTATTAATTTTATATCAAAACAATATGTGGATTGAAAAGGTAAATCATATGTTTTTTAGTATATTTGTGTATTCTGTGTATGCAATATGTAGTGCTACTCTCCTTATCCTCCAATTGCCAAATGCTGTCACTTCCAACATTCTAGTGGTTTCTTCTGAAATTTTTGTCCTATTTCTAATCAATGACTCTGTTTCTATTTTTTATGTACAGATTTTTAAACAATATCTGATTTTCTGGTACGAGAGCTGAGAATTTACATCTCTATCCCCACCTCATACAAAATACACATACAAATCCCCTTACTCCACTTCCAATATATTTAAACCATAATTTTTAGCACTTAGAACACTCATTTTAAAATCATTCTGACTAAATAAACAATGCTCACTCGTAAGAAAACTATGATTATGCTTCCTTTTGGTACCTTCTTGGACCTTACTATGTTTCTTTAGTCAATTCATAAAACTCTGTACCCTGATTTAGGATTATTTCCAAATACTGAGGTAGATGTTTCAAACTCCTAATAAAAATTTCCCTATTATTCAGAAGCCACAAACAATCCATCACCTTTTGTCTTTTGTTCTTGACATCTCCCTTCATACCTGCTTTATCCACCTGATCCATTTAGAAGTGGATATTTTCCAGGCCTGCTATCTAGCAACAGCCCTGACACTTTTTCTGCTTCAAGAGTTCTCAAGATTCCTGAAGCCCATGACTTCCTCTGACATGATTTCAGGCATTTGAACATGAAAGTTTGATAGTTGACTTGAATTCTGATGCCTTAGTGAACTCTAATCCTTTATCTATGACATGCTACATCTCTCTGTGTCAGGAAGCATTTAACAGGAAGCTTCCTGTGTGCTGTTTTGGATCTGTCAGGAATCCTCTGGTCCTTATTAATTCCTGAATATTCAGGAATTAAGACAAGAAGCACGCCTTTCCCGGGGCTGAGGAATCCAGGCATTTCCTTCATTAGTTTCTCAATACAGTGATAAGTACCCTCTTCCTTCTTATGAACCATTCGGTAAAAAGTGATTGTTTACAACTCTCACTTTAACAGGTATTGCCCTATGTTTTGTAAGTCTGGAATTTTAATCTTTATCCTTGCTAAGAATAACTACCTTGTAAGACAGTATATATGTCCACACCATGTTAATTAAANAGCTTCTCTCATCCTATTGGGGAAAGAATGATCTGATAAAAGGAGCTGTCAAAGGGTTGTGACTGGGACAGTTACCTTTATCAGCCTATTTCTCCTTCCATCCTCTTTGACTCTTGGTGCTTATAAATACTGAAACTTACAAGATGGTAAGGACACAAATGACTCTCCTTATTATACAACTTCCTCTTCTGACATATAGACCATAACTTCATTCTCTATCTGACTTCACTGTCACCTCTCAATATGCTCTGTGTTTCAAAAATTTGTTTAAGATGTGTTGGCTGCCTCTCCAGGTTTAAAAAGCTAACTCTGGCCTGTTAGGCTATGGTCATTTTACTGAAACCCTAACACAACAGAAGATCATGTGTATTTCTAAACTGCTGTTCACAACTGTTAACCTTTAAAGGTTAATTTCTAAAAAAAAGTTACTTGCAAAGGATAAAATTATTGACCCCAACCCCCACCACTATCAAATTCTTATTTTGGTAAGAAATATTTTCCCAGAAATAAACTTCTTGACTAATAAAATTCCTTTATATGCACATCTTAAACCAATTCCCTGTGAATATAACTTTTTAAAGGACTCACAACACTGAAATTTTCATCAGGCAGTCTCACAAAATTTCCAGGATTTCCATTTATGTTTCAAAAAGCAGAATTTCCATTTTCTGTGCCCTGGCTTTAGAACACTGCATTTTCAGAATGAGGAAACTCCAGAGTGATCTTTCCATAAGAAAGCCATTATGCAACCACAGGCCAACTCATGCTGGCTATGCCCACTACATGTGACCTCCCATGAAATCCAAATTCTGCTACGTTGATTTTCCTACCTTTCACAGTGTCTTCACTCCTGTCATCCTGCTATATTATGTAAAGATGTCCCATTACTTTCCCTTCACTAAATCTGAAAAACATTAAGGTGCTCAAACAGAGATTTAAGGGCTTCCCTTGTGGCTCTTCCCTTAAAGAATCTGCCTGAAATGCAAGAGATTGCCTGCAATGCAGGAGACCTGGGCTCGATCCCTGGGTCAGGAAGATTCCCTGGAGAAGGAAATGGCAAACCACTCCAGTATTCTAGTCTGGGAAATCCCATGGACAGAGGAGCCCAGCAGGCTATAGTCCATGGGGTCTCAAGAGTTGGACATGACTTAGAGACTAAATCACCACAAGAGAAACAAGTCTCTTTCCAATATCTTTCCTGAAATCACCCTGCCCACCATGTTATCATACCTGTGACCTCTGGGTGCTTAAGCAGGAGGAGGAGCCCATATCTCAGTGTGGTGCTCGTTGTCTCTGTCCCAGCTCCAAACAAATCAGATACAGTGATTGTCAGGTTTTCAAATGTATATTCTGATTGATGATTGTGTTTTTCCTAGGAATGATTTGATTTTTTAAAAATTAGAAAGCATACCAAAAGCAGGTAAACATGGCCCATTAACAAGTAAAAAACAAGTCAACACAAATCATTCCTGATGAACCCCAGACACACTGGCTTTACTCGATAAAAAGTTTAAAATTCATGTCTTAAACTGGCTCAAAGAGCTGAAGAAAACCGCATACAAGAATTAAAGCAAATCAGCAAAATATATATACAAGTGAGGAATAATGAAAAAAGTTCTATAAAAAGGAACCAAAGAGAAACTTTGGAGATGAAAAGTACAAAAACTGAAATTTAAAAAAAAAAAAAAATTATCAGAATTTTTCAACAGCAGACTGGAGGAAGCCCAAACAAAAAAAAACCATCAAACATGAAGCCAGGAGAACAGAAATTTCCTGTGAATATTAGGAAGAAAAAGGAAGAAAGAAAAATGAACAGAGCCTAAGACACAACTGGAACTCAAACAAGTATACCAATATCCACTTAATGGGAGCCCCAGAAAAGAAAGAAAGAAGAAATAAAAAATAAATATTTTAAAAAAGAATGGCTGAAGACTTCCAAAATTTGGTGAAATACATGAATGTATGAATAAAAGAAGCTAAAAAAACTCCAAGAATATTGAAGTCAAAAAGACCCAGAGCAAGGTGCATTTTAATCAAACTGTCAAAAGCCAAAGCGAGAATGTTTGAAGTGTCAAGGGAGAAGTGACTCCCTTGTACACACTCCCTGAAGTGTACAAAGGACCCACAATAGCATAATATATCATTTTTCTCCAAAAACTGTGGAAACCATAAGTCAATGGAAAGATATTAAGTCCTCAGTGTAAAAATGTCAACCAAAAATTCTATATCTGGCACAACTATCTCTCCACAAAATAGGTGATAGAAGACATCCCCAAAATAAAACTTAAGGGGTTCTTTTTTAAAAGACTGGCCCTACAAGAAATGCTAAAGGGAATCATCTTTCAGGTTAAAATGAAAGGTATTCCATGATAATTCAAACCCAGATTGACAAATAAATATTTTTGTTAAAAATAATAATGTAGGTAAATACTAAAGCTAATATTATTTTATCCTAGTATAAAAACTCTTCTTTTCTATATTATCTAATAGAAAATTGAATAAAAATCATTAGAAATACCTTTTCTAGGCAGAAAAGATATAAAGATGAAATTTATAACATCAACAAAATAGAGGGAGATGACATTGACTGGGAGCAGAGTTAACATGTGCAATTTGAAGCTACTGTGGAAGCACTTTATACTGGACTGCTATATATTTAGGATGTTAACAGTAATCCCCATTCTAAGAAATCAGTTAAAAAATAACACAAAAAAACTGAAGAGGGCATTAAAAAGGTGCCTGCAAAATTGATCAAACAAAAAATATGATTGTAATGGAAAAATTGAGAAACAGCAATCATAAAATGCATTAGAGCAAAAAAATGGCAGAAAAGAAATAAAGCCATTAATATTAAACTAATTCTTCAATATTAATTAAAGTGATTAGTCACTTTGACTAAAACTCACAATTTAAGACAGATATTTAAAGAACAAAATTTTAAACTATATGTATACACACACACACACACACACACACACACATATATAAGCTATTATACATCCATAATATATCCATACATGTATAGAATACAATTCAGGCATGCAAAAGAAGAAAATCCTAACACTTGTGATATCATGAAGGATGGCCCTTGAAGTTATCACAGTAAATGAAACAGATCAGATACAGAAAGATAACTACTATATGATCAAACTTACATGTGAAATATTTTAAAAATCTGATCTCAGAGAACACATTGGCTGCCAGAGACGGGGAGTGGTCAAGATGAATAAAGGAACTCAAAAGGTACAAAATTCCAGTTATAAAATAAATAAGTCATGGGTAACTACTACACAGCATGATGACTATAGTTAATACTGTATTGTATCTCTGAAAGTTTCTAAGAAAGTAAATCCTAAAAGTTCTCATGTTCTTATTACAAGAAAGAAAACCTATAACCATGTGTGAATGGATGGTAACTACATTTATTATACTAATCATCTTGTGATATATACATATATTGAATCACTATGTTGTATATCTATAATTAATATATTTTGTCAATTTTACTCAATTAAAAACTGCATATTGTCTACAAGAAACCCACTTATGACTGAAAGATACAAATATGTTGAATGAAAAAGAGAGAAAAAGATTTTGCAAGCAGTGAGTAACCAAATACAGCAGGAATGTTAAAAAAAAAAAAGTTAGATTTTAAGCAAAAAGAAATTAAATGGAACAAATGAGAATGGAGTGTTTTTTTACTGGATCAACAAAGATGAATTCTTCAAGAAGCTATAACATTATACACCTATATGTGGGCTTCTCCAGTGGCTCAGCAGTAAAGAATCTGCTTGCGGGTTTGATCCTTAGGTTGGGAAGATTCCATGTAGAAGAAAATGGCAACCCACTCCAGTATTCTCACTTGGGACATCCTATGAACAAAGAAGCATAATGGGCTACAGTCTGTAGGGTCACAAAAGAGTCGGACAGGACTTAACTGCTAAGCAACAACAATAACAACAACACCTATGTGCACCAAACAGAGCCACAAAATATATGAAGCAAACATTCAAATAATTGAAAGGATAAATGAAGAGTTCTATAATAATAGTAGGAGACAGGCTTAGTATTACACTAGACACAGTGAAGAAATAATCTGTGAACTTGTGGATATCACAGTAGAAACCTCTAAAACAAAGAGAAAGAGACTTTAAAAAGAGACAGAAAAAGGAAAAAGCAAATCTAAAGACTATGGGACAAGTTCAAAATGTGTAAAATACTCATATTGGGAATTCCAGAAGGAAAAGTAAGAGGAAAAGAAGTAGAAAAAAATATTTGAGACAATAATGAATCAGAATTTCCCCCAAATTAGTATCATACACCAAACTACAGATCTAAGAAACTCAAAGAACACTGATTAAAATATTGCCAAAAAACAAAAACAAATCCTACTCTAGGCATACATTTTCAAACTACAAAAAGTCAAAGGTAAATTCAAAATTCTCAAAAAGCCAAAAGTAAAAAGTGCCTTACTTAAGAGGAAAAAGGATGAGAATTATTCTGACTTTCCCTCACATACCTTGCAAGTATGTAGACAGTGGAGTGAAATATTTAAAGCGTTAAGGAAAAGAAACCACAAAACAAGACTGTGTACCCTGCAAAATGATGTTTCCACAGGGAAAGAAATGAAGAACTGCTCAGACCAAAAAAAAAGAAGTAATCTGTTACCAGTATGACTACCTTGCTAGAAGTGTTAAAAGAAATTCTTTGGAGAGAAGGAAAATCATATCAATCAAAACCACATCTACATAAAGAAATAAAGAATTACAAAGAAAAGAATGCATAAACATTAAAAAGTTTTCTTTTCCTCATTCATAATTGATTTAACAGCTAAAAGTTCAAAATAACAACAATGTATTTGATGGAGTAATGCTTATGAATACTTCATATATAAATATATATATATGCTTATATACAGGTGGAATGAATGACAGCATGCTACAAGGGATGGAAGGGAAGAATTAGAATTATGTTGTTACTATGAGATAGTTACTCTGACAGTGAAATGGTACAGGAACAACTAGGTGCAGGAAAAACACAGGACATGACCCTGTGTTTGTGTTTGTTTCCTTAATGAACAGTGACATTGAATGGACCCTGTCTCACTCCATATAAAAAATTTAACTCAAAATAGATGAAAATTTTAAATATGATACACAAATATATATTTAATGTCTAACTCAAAGAAACTCACAGAAAAAGAGAGCAGAATAGCAACTATCAGGAGTTGGGGTGGTGGTACCAGGAGAAATAGGGAGATAATTGGTCAAAGGATAAAAACCTCCAGGTGTGAGATGAATACGTTTGAGGGATCTAATGTACATTATGGTGGTTATAGCTAACAATACTGTATTATACACTTGAAAGTTGCTAACAGAGTAAAGTGTTAAATGTCCTCACCATAAAAAAAGGAAATAGTAATTATGTGAGTAGATAGAGGACTTAACCCAATGCTAGTGTGGTAACCCTGGTGGCTCAGACGGTAAAGCGTCTGCCCACAATGTGGGAGACCCAGGTTCAATCCCTGGGTTGGGAAGATCCCCTGAAGATGAAAATGGCAACCCACTCCAGTGTCCTTGCCTAGGAAATCCCATGGATGGAGGAGCGTGGTGGTCTACAGTCCACGGGTCGCAAAGAGTCAGACACCACTGAGAAACTTCACTTAGTGTGGTAATCACTCTATAATATGTATGTGTAACAAATTAACACAGTGCCCAGTGCTCTCTGACAACCTGGAGGGGTGGGATGGGGTGAGATGGGGTGGGAGGGAAGATGAAGAGGACAGAGACATATGTATATCTATGGCTGATTTATGTTTATGTAGGGGCAGAAACTAACACAATATAGTAAAGCAATTATCCTCCAATTAAAATAAATTCTAAAAAAAAAAAACAGAAAAATACTTTGCAAGAGTTAAATCTATAAAACACTTAGAAGAAAACATTGTAGTATACCTTTAGAAACTCAGAAATGGCAACCAATTCTTAAATTTGACACCAAAGTAACAAATATACAATGTGTGTACATATGTATTTGTCTAATATATATCATATTTCAATAAAATTAAAATGTTTATGTATCAAAAGCATAATGAAAGACGTGAAATGACAACCAATATGTTGGAAAAAAAGCTCAACAACAATGACAGGTGCCCAGTTTTAAAAAGGCAAAGGACTTGGCTGATATTTCTCCAAACAAGAAAATACACTCAACGTCACTGTTCATTAAGGAAACACAAAATATAGTCACACCCAGATACAACTTCACATTACCTAAGCAAGCTTTAATAGTGTTAAAAATTAGAAAGTAAGTATTGGCAGTTATGTGGAAAATAGTAACAATATACTCTATGTAGACAGTATATTGTATATTGCTGGCAGGAATATAAATGCTGCAGTCACTGTTGGAAAGTCTGGCTATTCCTCAAATGTTAGATATAAAATTATTAATATCATATGTCTTCTCAATTCCACTCCAAGGAAAATATCAAACAAAAAGGAAAATGTGCCCATGAAGAAATTTGTACACAAATATTAGTAGCAGTCTCTTTCAGAACACCCAAAGAAAAACAATACAAATGTTAACCAATCTGTGGATGCATAAAAATTATAGTACACACATGCAATTGAAAACTGTTCAGCCATAAATGAAAAAAACAAAGTGATCATACATATTACAACTTAGAAAATACTCCAAAACACTATATATCAGAAACAAAAGGGGCAACACTATGATTCCTTTTATACAATGAATCCATAAAAGGCAAATCATAGACATAAAGCAGATTAAGTTGACACATGATGGGGTGGAGGGAATGGACAGCAATCATTTAATACACATCATATGCTTCTGTACAGTGATGAGAAAGTTTTGAAACAAGAACTAGTGATCACACAACATTGTGAATGCACGAAATACAACCAAAATGTACACTATTAATTGTATGGCATGCAAAAGATATTAAGAAAGGGTTGCAAGATGCACAGAAGAACTATACAGAAAAGATCTTAATGACCCAGACAACCATGATGGTGCGATCACTCACCTCGAGCCAGACATCATGAACTCCAAAGTGAGGCAAGCCTTGGGAAGCATCACTACAAACAAAGCTAGTGGAGGTGATGGAATTCCAGCTGATCTATTTCATGTTTTAAAAGATGATGCTTTTACAGTGCTGCACTCAACATGCCAGCAAATTTGGGAAACTCAGCAGCGGCCACAGGACTGGAAAATGTCAGTTTTCATTCCAATCCCAAAGAAAGGCAATGCCAAAGAATGTTCAAACTACCACACAGTTGCACTCATCTTACACACTAGCAAAGTAATGCTCAAAATTCTCCAAGCTAGGCTTCAACAGTACCTGAAGCAAGATCTTCCAGATGTTCAAGCTGGATTTAGAAAAGGCAGAGGAACTAGAGAGCAAATTGCCAAAATCCATTGGATCACAGAAAAACCTCTACTTCTGCTTTACTGACTACGCCAAATCCTTTGACTGTGTGGATCACAGCAAACTGTGGAAAATCTGAAAGAGATGGGAATACCAGACCACCTGACCGGCCTCTTGAGAAATCTGTATACAGGTCAAGAAGCAACAGTTAGAACCAGACATGGAACAACAGACTGGTTCCAAATTGGCAAAGGAGTACATCAATGCTGTATATTGTCACCCTGCTTATTTAACTTATATGCAGAGTACATCACATGTAATGCCAGGCTGGATGAAGCACAAGCTGGAATAAAGACTGCCAGCAGAAATACCAATAACCTCAGATACACAGATGACACCAACCCTTATGGCAGAAAGCGAAGAGGAACTAAAGGGCCTCATGATGAAAGTGAAAGAGGAGAGTGAAAAAGTTGGCTTAAGATTCAACACTCAAAAAACAAAGATCATGGCATCCAGTCCCATCACTTCCTGGCAGATAGATGGGGAAACAATGGAAACAGTGAGATACTTTATTTTCTTGGGTTCCAAAATCACTGCAGATGGTGACTGCAGCCATGACATTAAGACACTCGCTCGTTGGAAGAAAAGCTATGATCAACCTAGACAGCATATTAAAAAGCAGACATTACTTTGCCAGCAAAGGTCTATCTAGTCAAATCTATGGTTTTTCCAGGAGTCATGTATAGATGTGAGTTGGACCATAAGAAAACTGAGTGCTGAAGAAATGATGCTTTTGAATTGTAGTGCTGGAGAAGACTCTTAAGAGTCCCTTGGACTGCAAGGAGACCCAACCAGTCAACACTAAAGGAAATCAGTCCTGAATATTCATTGGAAGGACTGATGCTGAAGCTGAAGCTCCAATACTTTGGCCACTTAATTCAAAGAACTGACTCAATGGAAAAGACCCTGATGCTGGGAAAAATTGAAGGCGGGAGGAGAAGGGGACAACAGAGGATGAGATGGTTGAATGGCATCACCCATTCAATGGACATGAGTTTGAATAGGCTCTGGGAGTAGGTGATGGACAGGGAAGCCTGGTGTACTACAGTCCACAGGGACACAAAGAATCAGACATGCCTGAGCAACTGAACTGAATTTATGTGAATTTCACCTTAATTTTTCAAATAACATTAGTCCATAAATTGATCGACAGATTTCACACAATCTCTATGAAAATCACCACTGATGTCTTTGCATAAATTGACATGTTTATCCTAAATTTAGGGGGCACAGAAAAGCCAAAACAATCTTATAAAATGACAAAAAATTAGAGGTCTCACACTACTCAACTTCAAAACTAATTATTAAACTAGTAATTAAGATGTCCAGATGATGTGCCACTGATGTAAAAACTGACATTTAGATTACTGAAACAGATGCCAGATTGCACAAATGCTCAAATTATGAGTCAGTTGATTTCTGACAAAGTTGCCAAGCTAATTCATGTGGGAAAAATGGTCTTTCCAACACGTAGTGCAGGGTTCAAGCTCAGAATCATATAATATTAATATAACTCCATATCTTTGCTAATCCATTTACTTTACACTCAATTAAGGCTTCGTCTGTCTACACACCTACTCTTTGCCATCACATGCCTATGTAAACAGCATCATACATACATCATTCATCCATATCATATTCCCTCCCTTGTCCTTTGATGCAAATATGTTGATCTATTTGCAGCTACCAGCCAAGCAGGAAGCCCAGTTAGAGCTAGTCATCCTTCTTTATTCCCTTTACACTGTGTGTGCTATGATCATGTTCATCATCATATGATACCATGATATTTTGTTACTTTTAACTAGTTGTTATCAGTTTCCAATTCACCTATGACACCATTCTGCTTCTCCTTGGGTAGATTATTAGCACCCAAAGAGCAAAATCAAGGTATTTCACTTATTTAATGACTAAATATTACATCTTCATAATGCTTAGCATAGATTCATGCACACAAGTACTTAAAATGCTTGTCAGCATTGCTTGCCAGACCACTGAAACATCCCTGGTAAATACAAAAGATTCAATGATCTATAAAATGCACAAGTAATCAAATAATTGAACTGTCTTTAACCTATTACCTGCTCCATCTTGATCAGGAAGCAATCAATAAAGTCTCGAGGATTGTTAATATCCAGGGATGCTTGGTGTTCCCTTGCTTTCTCCAAAACATAATTTTTTACATAAGCAGTATTTGTAATAAATTTTTTATAACTATAACTCCATGGGAAAAAATCAAGGAGCACAGGGAAAATATTGAGGAGCTGGAAGAGAAAATTATGGTTTATTAAATAAATAAACAGTTAAAACTTACATGCCAAGTCCTGGTTGGAAACTGTAGTATAAATATTAAAATAAATATGGTCTCTAAATGTTGAGGAGTATTTTTATTATACAAATACATAGTTTTCTATGCTGATAGAAGTATTTCAAGGAGAAAATTCTGGTAAGGGACCAAAAATAATAATCATTTCCTATACCTACATATCATGTTTCCAGTATGAAAACATCTTTACATCAATTCTGCCTGTTTTTTACATCAGTTCTTCTCTACAATCATGAAATAAGGGTTGGCACAAAAGACAATGACTCACATTTTGTAAATGACAACAGAGGTTAAGAGAGTTTGCACAGCCTGATATGGAGCACAGAACTGGTCCTGATGTTTCTACCTCTGTCTCATAGATTCAAACATAAAATAAGTATTTTATTAATAGGACTGAAAGGGTCCTAAGTGAAAAAAGTGAAAGTGAAGTCGCTCAGTCGTGTCCCAACTCTTTGCAACCCCATGGACTGTAGCCCACCAGGCTCCTCTGTCCATGTGATTTTCCAGGCAAGAGGACTGGAGTGGGTTGTCATTTCCTTCTCCAGAAAGGGTCCTAAAGACACCATGAAACTCAACATTTTTTTGTCTAAAGTAACTGAGCACCAGAGCACCTAAGTGACCTCTGTAAGGTCACACCACTGTCTTTTAGGCAGAAGGCAGAACATGTCAGCTCAGTATAGAGTACACCTGTGATGTTGGTTTGTGGTTCCTACCCAAAAAACATCTCATTTTTTGCCATCCCCAAAGCAATTACCTTGCCAGTTAGGATGCCAACTGAAGCATCAAACAGTTCTAACCTAGCCAGTGTCCCCTGGCAGCACTCTTTCACTCAAAGGAGATATTCTCCTGCTTCCTAAATGCAGATATTTCTGCCAACTAAGGTGGTTAAGTAGTAACTAGGTGGAGACTGAATGACAAGATTTGTGAATAATGGAAGCCTTTCCAGAAGGGCCTGGAATTCCTTCTATTGCTGTGGGCATGCTTTGAGGATGTTACCAAAGTAGTTTATGGAAACTGGGCTTTTAAAATTGGTAGAAAAACCACTGAACAGTGTCAACAGGACTGAATTGCAGGCATGTATTTTCCTGTCTCGGAAAAGGCAATGGCGCCCCACTCCAGTTCTCATGCCTGGAAAATCCCATGGATGGGGGAGACTGGTAGGCTGCGGTCCATGGGGTCACCAAGAGTTGGACACGACTGAGCAACTTCACTTTCACTTTTCTCTTTCACACATTGGAGAAGGAAATGGCAACCCGCTCCAGTGTTCTTGCCTGGAGAATCCCAGGGATGGGGAGCCTGGTGGGCTGCCGTCTATGGGGTCAGACGGAGTCGGACACGACTGAAGCGACTGAGCAGCAGCAGCAGCAGCATTTTCCTATCTAACATGAAAGGGCTCAGCCAGCAGCCCCAGACGAGCACTCCATGAGGCTAAGCTCTGGGCAGGACTGTGCTCTTCACAGTTTCACCTCACAGCTTGGTGTATAGAGAGATCTGGACCTCATGGGAAAAAGAGAATAAATGATTCCTCGAGAAGAAAGGCCCTTGGCCTCACCTGCATCCACGGAGAGCCCAGAATCTTGATATTTTCATTTATTGTTTTCAATAGATTTAGAAAAGTCTGATCTTTATAATCAAAACACTGTGAGTCTGTGTTTTTCACAGATATACTCATTTGTGTCACATTTTAGATTCCACATACAACTGACATCATATATTTGTCTTTGTCATTCTGACTTACTTCATTCAGTATGATAATCTCTAAGTCCATCCATGTTGCTGCAAATGGTATTTAAATAATTTTTTTTTTTAATCAATCCAGGGACTTCCCTGGCCATCCAGTGGTTAAAACTCCATGCTTCCACTTTAAAGATGGGATTCTTTGTCAGGGAACTAAGATCTCACACACCACATGGCACAGCCAAAAAACTTAAAATAAATTCAATTCATCATATTCACTGCCTTTTCTTATATCTTTTTCACCTAAGGTATCTGTTAATTTGAAAGGTGAATGATGAAAATGCTGAAGAGACCATTTTCATACCATTTAATTACTAACATTATCAGTGCTGAGTATCATAAACACTGACATAGGAAAATGAGAACAGTTAGGGACCTCCAAATGTTTTTTATATAATGAATATTTGAAAGAGAAAAGAAATATATAATGAATATTTGCAGAATCAGCAATGAAGAAGCTAAAGAGAGAGAGACTGTAGACTTCGTGTATGTGAAAAAGTAAATGTATAAAAGCAGGAAGAATCCACGCTATATGAGAAGAAAAACTAATATGAGTGAACAATTATTATGAACTGGATTTTTTGTCCAAAGTAAATATAAAATATAATTTTTATATCAAACATAAATCCCAGGGAAGTGAAACCAGAAAAGTTTAATTGGCAAATGGAGTTTCTTTTTTCTTTTTTTTTTTAGATATTTGAAATACGACTTTATTCTGATTCTAGACGAAAAGGAATGGGAATGACAGTAACAAACAAGATTCCACCTCTCAATATTGTCATGTGACTATAGCAGTCTTATATTTGAAACTCAAGGAGGAAACAGCTGTGTTCCAAAACACCTAAATATGCAGGTCTAAAAAATGAAAGTATTTCTTTTTTAACTGCCACATTCACTCCAAAGCCCATCCACCTCCTTCAGCATCCAAAGATTAAGCACATGTTCTGCTTAGCTATATAATAGTGGCAAACACGCTGCACCACTGACATCACAGGACAGTTGCCTATAAAACTAGACTTCTGACGCTGGGCCCTAGCTTCACTTTCTCACAGGTCATCATCTTCATCCGGGAGAGCAGTTGTCTGAGCAACCTCTAACTCGTGCTCGTACTGTGCTGCCAAGGCTGGGTCCATGACCACCTCCAGTGGGGCAAGAGAGGCATGGAGACAAACTCCAAGTTAGGGTCTCCAATCAATTTTCTAGCAAGCCAGAGGAAGGGCTTTTCAAAATTGTTACTTTTCAAAGTTACTTTTGGCAGAAATGCCATAATACTGAAGATTCTTCTTTCAGTGGAAGACAATTGACTTTGCCTTAACCTTTCTGTCCTTAATATCCACTTTGTTGCCACACAACACAATTAGGATGTTCTAACACACTCGTACCAGATCTCTATGCCAGTTAAGCACATTCTTGAAAGTAACTCTTGATGTTACATCAAACATTATAACGGCCCACTGAGCTTGTATATAATAGCCATCTCTCAGTCCACCAAATTTCTCCTGACCAGCTGTATCCCATACATTGAACTTAATAGGTCCTCCGTTGGTATGGAACATAAGAGGATGGACCTCAACACCCAAGGTAGCTACATACTTCTCAAATTCACCAGTCAGATGATGCTTCACGAATGTAGTTTTTCCAGTACTACCATCACCAACCAAAACAAGTTTGAACTGAACTTGGGGTTCTCCTTGGGCAGCCATCTCGATGTTACTTCCAGAAGCATCTCCGCGCCCGTTTCCAAATGGAGTTTCTTTATGTGTCATTTCAATGTTAAAAAAATTTCCTTCCTTAAGAATTAAATGACCTTCATTTCCAATGATCATAAAAATTAATTAATTTAAGCAAAGCTGCATTATGTGGACCTCTGGGCTAGTCTTCTGTTTACCCATCAACAGAATACTAAACTTTGATAAATTTAAATTTTTCATCATTTACATCAAGTTTATTATATTTCCAATGAAGAAATTATACTAGAGGAAAAGTTTTCTTTTTTAGTAGGAGATCTATAAAATAAAATTGGTGCAATCAAACAATCAAAGAAAATTCTGGCACTTCCCTTGTGGTCCAGTGGTTAAGAATCTGCTTTGTAATGCAAGGAACACAGGTTCGATCCCTGGTTGGGAAGCTAAGATCCCATAGGCCCCGGGGGCAGCCCTTGTGCTTCAGCGAAAGATTTCACATGACACAGTGAAGATTTCGCGTGCCACACCTAAGGCCTGAAGCAGTCAAATAAATAAATCAACTTTTTTTTAAATTCACTATATAAAGAGAGATAAAATATTCACATATATAGATGTGATTAGGATTAGTTGAGTCAAAGTACAGTAAGGAGTGACATCAGAATGATGGTATAAGAGGAAATCCCAGCCTTCATCCCCCCACAGAAACACCAGTTTAGCAATGATATGTGGATTAAAATTTCTTTATGAGACTTCCAGAAAATTTTAAGAAGTCACAATACCATAGGTCACTACGAAGCTGAAAACAGATACAATAAAACTGATAAGAAGTGCAATATCACTTCACCTGCATCAACACCTCCCCCGCAAAAACTCAGTGCTGAGGCAAAAGAATGCCCCAGGTTGTTATTAATCCAGGAAAGAGACGGATGAAGCATGCATTCAATGCAGCAGTGGGCTGCTTGAGGAAGCGGTTTCTGTCCTGCCTCACTTGGAGTGCTGACAGAACTGGCACAGTCTGGATGTCTGGAATCACTGAGAATAGAGGGTGAGAAAAGTGATTTGCTGTGACCAGCATGGCCTGACACAGTCTAAAGAAGGTGCAAAAATTGAGGCTCATCCTCTAATGGGGGGGAGGAGTGGAGTTTCATCCAGTGTCCTGGTTTTTTGGAGGGCAACTCAAAGGACTGGTAACTGTCTAACCTGATTCAAGGCATTGAAGGGGAGCCTACAGATTTTTGGATGCCACTGAGAAACGGAAGAGCTTGCCTCTGTTGAACCACAGAACTTTCAGTGTGCAGACAGATAACAAAGAGAGCAAGAGAGGACTAGCTCCTGAGAATGAGCTTGGCAAGCTTTCCTAGTTGTGAAATTCTACACATAAGCCCACAGTAGTTGCAGCCACCAAAAGAAACAGGTTTCAGAGGGCCCCAGAATCTCCATCCAAGATGCTTGCTATGTGTTTTTGCTCTATATAAAGCTGGTCCCTAAAATCTGAAAGAGGTAGCTATTTTTTCAAATTAATGAATCTAAACATAAAGTCATGAAGCACACAAAGAAGCAGGAAAAATGGCTCAAACAATGTACAAAATAAATCCCAGAAACTGATCCTAAAGAAATGGGGTAATATCACTTGTCTAAACAAAGTTTTTATCAGAAAGTGATGCAGGGACTTTCCTAGTGGTCCAGCAGTTAAGATGGTGTGCTTCCAATGCAAGATGACTGGTTCGATCCCTGGTCTGGGAACTAAGATCTCACATGACTCACAGCGAGGCCCAAAAAAAAGTGACACGGATGCTCCACAAACTCAAGGAAATGATGCAATGGACAAGTGAGAATATCAAGAAACATAATACATTTTTTAAAAACAGCTGAAATCTGTCAAGTTGAAGAACACAATAAGTCACATAAAATTTTTGCCCAAAGGTGGGTCATTTGCTATTACTCAAAAGAACAAAAGGGAAAAAAAATATTTAAAAGAGTGAAGAAAACACAAAGGACTTATGGGACATCAACAAGGGGGTCCATAAAAACATTANAACAGCTGAAATCTGTCAAGTTGAAGAACACAATAAGTCACATAAAATTTTTGCCCAAAGGTGGGTCATTTGCTATTACTCAAAAGAACAAAAGGAAAAAAATATTTAAAAGAGTGAAGAAAACACAAGGGACTTATGGGACATCAACAAGGGGGTCCATATACACATTATTGGAAAAGAGAGAAAGCTTATTTGAAGAAATAATGGCAAAAACTTCCTACATCTGAGTGAAAAACTGACACAGATTCCAGAAGACCAATACATTCTAACTTGGATGAAGAAAAGAAACTCACACTGAGATACATTATACTCAAATTCCAAAAATCAGAAACAAGGAGAGAATTTTGATAGCAACAAGACAAGTGATATGTCAGATACAGTAGAACCATCATAATACTAACAACTGATTTTTAAGCAAAAATATTGCAGGCTAGAAAGCAATGGGATGATACACTAAAAACGTGGAAAGAAAAAGGTACCAACCAAGAATATTCTACTGACAAGACAATTTTTCAAAAATAAAGGACAAATAATCACTTTCTCAAATAAACAAAAGTTGAAGGAGTTAATCCACACTAGACATGTCTTAGGGCTTCCCTGGTGCCTCAGGGGTAAAGAACTGGCCTGCCAATGCATGAGATAGATGCATGCTCCATCCCTGGGTTGGGAAGATTCCCCTGGAGAAGGAAATGGTGACCCACTCCAGTATTCTTGCCTGGGAAATCCCATGGACAGAGGTGCCTGGTGGGCTACAGTCCATGGGGTCTCAAAAGAGCTGGACATGACTTAGCAACTGAATAACAACAACAAAGACATGTCTTAAAAGAAATGCTAGAAGAGGTTCATAAAGTTCAAACAACAGAACACTGAGCAGCAACAGAAAATCACATGAAAGTATTAAGTTAATCATCATATTTTGTGCTGGTTTCAGCCTATCAATAACCAAAGATATAGATGAACTAGATCTTGTGATTCTTTTTATGACTGCAAGAAGTCCTTCAGCAAAACCCATCAGGAAACTTTGAAACATAGAACTTTATTACCAACAAGACCTGGATATTGCCAACACACCTGGGAACACACTGTGAGGTTGTGAGTGGAGAGAGACAGAGTGACAACTCACACAGTGGCCCAGAGTTCTGCTCTCACTGGGGTAAAATTTGGGGCACAGGGTTTTGAGGGCTCATTATGGGTGAATTTAGGACATAGAAAGTGGAAATACAAAGCACTGAAAGATAAAAAAAAAAACAAATAGCCAAAATGCTTGTAATTGAAATCATCCAAGAACAAAGGAGGCTCAGTGAGAAGAGCTCTTTAGTCTCCTAGCTGGCTTGTTTATTTCAGATAACCACCTTTGAAACGGATGCTGTTCGGAAACAGATGCCTTGGAGATCACAGCATCAGGTATTTGCATTACAAAAAAGAAAAATATCCAGAACTGTGTGAATTTAAACTACACATTAGAAAATGAAAATCAAAAGCAAGAAGTAGCACCTCATATTTGTTAGGATGGCCATTATCAAAAAAGAAAGAAAGAAGGGGAGAAAGGAGGGAGGGAAGGAGAGAGAGACAGGAAAAAAATAACAAGTGTTGATGAGGGAGTTGAGAAATTGAACCCTTATATACACTTGATAAAATGTCAAATGATTTACTATGAAAAGCAGTATGGCCATTCCTCAAAGAATAAGAAGAAAATTACCATATTACCCAGCAGTCCCACTTTTGAGTTTTCATGCAAAATAGCTGAATCAGGATCTCAAAGATGTGATGATTACTCTTTCCCCCTTTTGACTTGCCTTTTTCTCCCCCAGATCACCTCTATTTCCTCCCTCCACCTTCTCTTCTAAATCCAATTCTGTGAATCTCTGTGGGTGTTCTGGGCCACAGAGAACACTTAGGGAACAGAATACTGCATAGATTTGTCTCTCTCCTCTTCAGTCCCCCTTTTTCTCCTCCTGCTCATCTCTATCTACTTCCTCCCTCTCCTATACATGTAATTCTGAGAGCCTCTATGGGTGTCCCTCACAGTGAAGAATCTTTTCACCATTAACCTAGAAGTTCTATTATCAGTGCAGTATAGTTGGAGAAGCCTTGAGGCTACTGGAAGAATAAGACTGAAAGCCAGAGGCAGGAGATTTAAGCCCAAAATCTGAGAACACAAGAGAACTCATGACTACACAGAACATTAAGTAATAAGAGATCATCCAAAAGCCTACATACCTACACTGAAACCAACAACCACCCAAGAGCCAATAAGTTCCAGAGCAAGACATACCATGCAAATTCTCCAGCAATGCAGGAGAACATACAGGCTGCCCAAACTCAGACCAAACACATAGACCCATCTCAAAACTCACTACTGGACACTCCATTGCACTCGAGAGAGAAGAAATCCAGTTCCAAGCACCAGAACACCGACGCAAGCTTCCCTAACCAAGAAACCTTGACAAGCCAATCATCCAACTCCACCCACTGGGAGAAACCTCCACAATAAAAAGGAACCACAGACCACCAGAATACAGAAAGGCCACTCCAAATGCAACAATCTCAACAAGATGAAAAGGCAGAGAAATATCCAACAGGTAAAGGAACATGAAAGATGCCCACCAATCCAAACAAAGAGGAGGAGATAGGGAATCTACCTGGAAAAGAATTTAGAATAATGATAATAAAAATGATCTAAAATCTTGAAAACAAAATGGAGTTACAGATAAATAGCCTGGAGACAAGGATTGAGAAGACATAAGAAATGTTTAACAAGGACCTAGAAGAAATAAAAAAGAGTCAATTAAAAATGAATAATGCAATAAATGAGATCAAAAGCACTCTGGAGGGAACCAACAGTAGAATAACAGAGACGGAAGATAGTATAAGTGAGGCAGAAGATAAAATGGTGGAAATAAATGAAGCAGAGAAGAAAAAAGAAAAAAGAATCAAAAGAAATGAGGACAATCTCAGGGACCTCTGGGACAATGTGAAATGCCCCAACATTCGAATCATAGGAGTCCCAGAAGAAGAAGACAAAAAGAAAGGCCATGAGAAAATACTCGAGGAGA